ACCGTTTTTGGTGAGTAATTGCCGGTTTGCTGCAGAGAACGAACTTATCTACCAAACAGTTTTCAGTCAAAGTTTCTATCGCATAAGAATTCAGAAAGAAGGACGATGCCAAAAGGGTTAGAGTTCAATACTCCCCGATTACTCATTGTAACTCATTGAACCTTGAAGTTTTGTATTTCGTATTGGGTACTGTATCAACATTCGGCAGCGAGTCAATTAGTTGAATAACTAAGACAATTTCATCATTCTCTTCAAAGAAAATAGTCTTGATCACTCACAGTAACAAATCATTGATTTCGATGAGCCGAAACTCAGAGTTCACACTGAGACATATTGTTACCTTGTCACGTCATAATTGAGTAAAACTAGTTTAAATTACGAACTTCTCGCACGGAATCCCATTTCTAACTTAAACCATGAAACTCTGAGAGATTATAGCTCTCTTCCAAGGGTTATGAACTCTCCTTGTCTTGGTAAATTCTTTCCCGCTCTCAGGAGGAATATTTCACCTCTTATATACAAAAGGGTTACCTCGCCGGAATAGAATAATCCCAAAGAGAGTTAATCCAAGTACGACACCTTCTCTAAGCACTTCATCTCTCCATCCCCTAAACCCCAAATATGGTTAGGAAGTTTCACGATCATTTCGTTTTCGAACCTCGAAGTATCCACGAGCTTGCTGATTGTATCATGGTGTTACACTATTTTGGGAAACTAATTAAGAAAAGATGTGTTTTTACTGCCTTAAGGCAGCTTTTATATATACTATACCTTTTAAGGAAGATGCAAGGGGGACAGGTGATAAGTAATTTGTTGGATAAAGCCATAATCTAACTAGGTTATCAACTATGTCCCCGGACTTTCAAAGTTGTCACTAAAAAATTAAGAGCACAAATATTATTATTATCGTATTGCTCAGGGGAACATTCCTGTAAAGAGGTGAGCAGATCTGTCACCAGGTTGCTAGAACGGTTCTCACCAACTGGTCTTAAAGGAATAGGAGATAAATTGCTCCTGTCAGAAGATATGTGCCGTGCGTGCACAGTGCAGAGAAACAGTCTTATCACAGTGAATCAATTAAAATAAAATTGACACCATGATGTTTTGTTGCTCTTAAGTAACTGTAAACTGAATTGAGAGCATCAGAATCTTTTTTCTAATAATAGCATTCTCTGAACAAAAAAATGCCTTTTGTTCCTTGGATAGTCTTTCCTTTTGACTGACTACATCGCACCAAACCATATTATACATTACAGTTATTTTGTGCGAAACAAATTGTGTTGCACCCTTATTTCATTCGAAAAAAAAAAACCTACTGAAGGATCGAAAGTTTAAGCTAGTTTTTGTAGAGTTGTCATAAAAATGGAATCCATGCAAGTCAGGTTGCTTCCTAATCGTCTTACCCCCCACAGACTCTCGGATACCATAAGTAAGCTTTCTTTCTCCGAGAGAAAATACCCTTCTTTGCACCGGATATTTGACTGGTGAAGCTGCAATGTATTTTGATGTAATTTTATTGCCCCAGCCTCCAGAACTGTCCTTTCTGAACTAATAATTTCAACAACCCTACCTCTGCAATGATTCTGTTGAAATTTTTCATGAGTTATAGAGACGAAATCGAATAAAAAGCTATCATATTTTGACGTACTCTCTTTAAGCGTTTTCTCAGCTGTTCCTGATCGCCTTACCCTAAGAACACTTATTACTGCTTAACACCACTAAGTCGTACATCATCAAAACACCCACTCTGAGAGAATAGTACCGTCTTACGATCTCCTCTTCGTATGACAACTCTCATTCCTAAGCTACGGGATTTAAAACCCTGAAGGAAACGATCACCTGTCGGATAAAGAGGAATGACCAAAGAACCATTCAGTACTTCTTTTTCTTTCCTTTGTCAAAAAAAGCTTTTGTTTTCTGAAGACCTTTTAATACTGAACGAAGCCGGCTCAGCTGTAACACAAATTTCTTTTCGTCGGCAATGATTTTTTCTCACTACGTTCGTTTGTTCGGTTGAAGATGCAACGTCTTGCAGGTGAAGAGAACTTTAAACAAAATCCCCCTCGGAATGCTTGTGAAAAAATTTTCAAGGCCAATAGAGACGATTAAGGAGAACGTGCTCTCCCATACTCATACTGGTGCTCAGACGAGAAATTTTATCCCTTAAGAATATGATAAGTGTCCTGCAGATGTCCCTATTAAGTTATACTGACAGGATTTACTTGGAATTGGGAAGCATCTCATGCAGTCATATGAAATCTTTCGCACTAAAATATTTTGATGAAGCGGCAAACTTTTATTAAATTCATTTATAAGTCAGTTTCACTACAATGAAGAATTCCAATGAACATTCTGAATACGCTGAAGGTGCCTTGACTTATTTAAAAAAGAATTACAGTTGTTACTCTGCATTGTTGATATCGGTAACATTTCCTTCGATAAAAGGAAACTTTCGTAGATTGCATGAAGATGCTCTTATCAAGCATAAAGGTTTCTAGTATTTATAGTTTGCCCGCAGTACACAAAACTATTACGAATGTTCAGATGCACCCACATTCCTGAACAATCATGTTATCAAATTTCCTCAATAAGACGTTGTTATCCTCATGAAGTATCAAGAAAGAGATAGGGCGCCACTTTATTGGGACACAGCAGGACCTGCTGCCATCGGTTGAGTAACCCTCGTTCTTCGAATTCAGGATTGCCATCATCAGTGAATAATTCGAAGGGTTGCCTGACTTGCACTTTCCCACACACTTAAAAGCATTGAACCCCATAGGTGCAATGATTAGATCAAACAAGGTACTATTTTGAAGATCTGAAGAGCTCACATACATTGGCACCCTACGGCAAGCACCAGCTTCATCTTCTTTCTTCTCCAGAAGGAATTTTCGTTCTGTTTTCTTGCTGGAAAGAGTTTGAATCCGGACTTCATTGTGCTTGTCAGCTGCTTAAAACAAGATGAAAATGAAATGGTGGAATTTTCGTTTCAAGACTTTTCTTGTTCGGTCTTTGGGACTTTTACGGGCCAAGCAGATCAAGTCGTTACAAATATTAAAGACCAAATTTCTGTATTCAATTTATTTGCTCATGGAAAACTGATTGCAAACGTGTGCTCGCCTTCTTAAAATTATGATGTACGTAGCGTTGAGAGCTGAGGGAAAATAAACCAGTAGAATTTCAAGCATATCAATCTTTTCAGAATGACAACGTTTTTTCATCAGGCTGGTACTTAAATGAAAACACAAGCAAGAGGAAATAAACTTTTTCACTTACATTCCCCGCCTCGAATCGAACTCGAAGAGTGCTTCTTTGGAACCATCGTCTCAGGTGGGTCTTTCGTCTCTTCAGAGCACGAAGTTTTCTCGAGACGGTTTTCATGAGCCATTCTTCTTCCAGACACCATCGAACTCAGCATGAAGAGTTGCAGTATAAAAAGGGACACCGTCGGTTTGAACATGATTACGAGAAAAGCAAAACTTCAGAGGAGTTTATCCTTCGAATACCTCCAGTTTATCTGATCAAAGCGGAAGGTGGGGTGGCTTTATGAAGTTCATTGTGCACTTGGGGAGTCAATCAAAGGTATGAAATTGCTAAATTCTTGTGCTATCAAGTTTCTTCAGTTCTGGTAAACAAAAGTAACTCGTGCTCCGAGAAGTGTCGGAGGAGGTCTCGCCGGAAAGGATCTGACTCACTGAGCTACTTGATGAATGAGGGCCACAAACATGCACAAACAGTTAACTTAGCGGCTATCTCCCCCGGCCTCTTGATGAAAAGCAGCAATTTAGGACGGTTCGGCCTGATAAGCTAAGGAATTGTGTTGTTTACGGCATGCACTAGGTGTTGACTTCGAAAAGGCGGCATGATATCACCGCAAAGCAAAATAAAAACAGAAAGACTTTTTATTTTTTGAACTTCACCCTTTATCTCTTCCTCTACTCTTAAAACAAAAGACCAGTGATTACGCGCCCAGGGAGCGTTTTACTGATATCTTTCGTTGAATTCTGTCAACCCACGGAGCGGATTATGATAGGGAAGAGAGCCTGCGCGAAGCCTGCGTTTCGTGTCTGTTGAGATATTATTGGTGACAATAGTCGTGATGCCGGCGTCCCGGCTCTGGAGCATGTTCGGTATAGGGGAAGCTTTCGAAGTGTCGAGAGTATAAAAAGAGATAAGAGACTTATACTTACCATCATTTGACTAGTTTAAATTCGGCTTTATACTTTTACCTTTCGTAAGAAATGGAATCTCACCTTGTGCTTATAGTTTAACTGATTCAGATCAAGGTGGACATTTCGTTTGAGGCATTAGGTACCGAGTGACTCTCTCCAGCTCCGTGTGATTATAAGGGAAATGAAAAAGATTGAAACTAATTCCGAGAGGACCTGGTAAAAACTTTAATGAATTGCAGAGCCTTGACTCTCAGGTCTTGTGGATCTAACCCCATCTCTTTCGCATAATCACATATTCCTAAGTATGGCTCGAAATCTACAAATTCAGAAATTACCACACATTGTCTGCTATTTATCCTTGGAAACTTGTTTCCAAGATTAATGTGGCTGCGTAATAGCCCATTTCCGAATTGCCTTTAGCCTCTTTTTCAAAGCGAGTCCTGGTGCTCATCCTTTCGTATGGTAATAAGTTTTCATTCACATGCAAATTGAACTCATTTTCATACGTATGGTTGAGCACCAGGCCTCGTTTTGAAAAAGAGGCCAAACGGAAATGACCTATTGATGTATTACAAATGAGACTGAACTTACAGGAGGCAAAAGTCATATGTCAAGTTTCAAGGCTGTCCTACAAAAGTTTTGCTTTCTCCTCAACTAAAAAATGCTGAACATCAAAGGTGAAAATCCTTCTTACTGTTCCCACTAGAGAAAATGAGATATCGAGATAACTTCCCCAAATATGATAAGTTGATTAGTACTTTTTCCGGTTCCTATTTGCGACACAATGTGGGGTCTTTCACAACGTAGAAATTAGAATGTATACACCATCCAACCTATTCGTCATGGCTGCTGAATTACTCTTTCCTAAGCTGGTGATTTTTGGGGCGTCAGGGCCAACTGGACGTCATTTGGTACAAAACGCATTGACAAAAGGTCACTTTGTGTCCGCTGTTGTGAGGAGTCCAGACAAATTCGACATCAGGTGTGCAAATGGACTCTTATTCTTCACTAAAATTTCTTGTATCGTGATAGGCGAACCCTTAAGAACATGGACGGTTTACTACTGTGGTTCTCAAATTTAAACATTCACAGCGGACATAACTGGTAAAGCAAATCGATAATAACAGATTGAAACAAATCTATCGGATTGGAAATCCATTGTACAGCACACGAATGATTTTAAGACAGAGAAACAGAGTGACTTGAACACAGACGTTTCCTTGTTTTAGAGTTACTTGTATGGGGCGCCAAATGTATTTTTATTATTTAGAGTGGTTATTTGTATATAACCAAAACAAGTATGGTTATATGTAAATAACCACATTGCGGTTTGGTTATTTAACCAAAACGAGACATTGGTTATTTAGCAAATAACCAAACATGAATGTGGTTATTTGCTAAATAACCAAAATTGCAAAGTGGTTATTTGCTAAATAACCAAAACTGAAAATTGATTATTTGCTAAATAACCAAAACTGAAATTTGGTTATTTGTGAGTAACCAAAACTGAAAATTGGTTATTTGCTAAAAAACCAAAATTGAAAAGTGGTTAGTTTGCACAAAATTGGTTATTTACCTAACCTGGTACGGACATGTAACAACCACATGGCCTGTTTTCCCGCTCATTTCCTACAGTGCATTACATGCGTCGATCTCTCTCAACATGAATAATAAGACTTTATTTATTGAGGATAGCACGTGATAGTGCACAAACACTAATAAACTTGTGGTCCTCTTAATTACAATAAATATATAAATGCAAATACAATAGAATCATTAATATATTGAAAAAAAAAATAAATAAATAAATAAATAAATAAATCCAATGATGACATGGTGGCAAGAATTTCTGCTGCAGTGCTAGTGTGCAATGCACTAAGAAATTCTCAGCAACAGGTATGTCTCAAGGCAGATAGCTGGCAGTGTGTTGTCTTTCAAAATGTTGAAATGTCTTGTCATTGTTATTTCCTAGTTCAAAAATAGAAAGAAGTCTTCCAAAATGTTTACTATCCTTTCAGGATAGTAAACAATGAGTTTGAGGGAGTTTGATGCTAGATTGTACCTGTAATTTATTTTTGGCACACCCTGGACTGCTGCAGACAAAGAAAAAAAGCTCTTGTTATTGTGTTGTGGTCTCTTGAGACTTATAAATAGAAATTTTGGACTTCTTTCTATTGTTGAACTAGGAAATAATGACAAGACATTTCAGCATTTCGGAAGACAACACATTGCCAGCTATCTGCCTTGAGACGTACCTGTTGCTGAGAATTTCTAAGTGCATTGCACACTGCAGCAGAAATTCTTTCCACCACGCCATCGTTGGAAGCCATGTTGAGAGAGATCGACGCATGCACTCTTTCCCACCAAATACACAATCATAATACCCGATCTTCATCTACTGGTAACTATTACATAAACTGTTCTAGGCTAAATCAACATAAAAACTCGTTCTAAAGGATTAGTTGTAAAATTTGGAATAGCATCCCAGGAAACTTAAGGAATCTTCCAAAACATATTTTCAAGAAAAAGATAACATTATTTCAAAATCTTCAACTTCAGGTTTGTTATGTTGACTTAGAACGAATACTCAATGATGTGTTGAAAGTTAAATCCAGTTAATAGTAGTGTTAATAGTATTGTTCTATTTATTGTCATGTGTTTCTGTTTCTGCATTTTTATTTCATAGTGCCATTTCTGCTTTACTGATTTACTATTTAATTTCTGTTTCTTGTAAGTTTATTGAATCTTTTGTTGAGCCCAATTTTATTTAAGATGTTTTAGCGTCCACACACTTCCCGGTGAGACTAGCTCTGCTATTTGTGGGTATTGTGTCATTATGCTAAGTGTCATGTCATGTCTGATTACAATAAAGTTGATAAAAAAAAAAGAAAAGTTGATTGCAATGCACTGTAGGAAATTAGCGTGAAAACAGGCCATGTGGTTGTTACATGTCCATACCAAATTAGGTAAATAACCAATTTTGCGCTAAAGAACCACTTTTCAATTTTGGTTATTTAGCAAATAATCAATTTTCAGTTCTGGTTATTTACAAATAACCAATTTCCGGTTTTGGTTATTTAGCAAATAAACAATTTTTAGTTTTGGTTATTTACAAATAATAAATTTTCAGTTTTGGTTATTTAGCAAATAACCACTTTGCAATTTTGGTTATTTAGCAAATAAACACATTCATGTTTTGGTTATTTGCTAAATAACCAATGTCTCATTTTGGTTATTTATAAATAAGCAAACTGCAATGTGGTTATTTCCATATAACTATACTTGTTTTGGTTATATACAAATAACCACTCTAAATAATAAAAATACATTTGGCACCCCATACACTTGGATATGAACTTAAAGCACCTATGGGAAACCCCACGTGATCATAGCACCTCAATACTCCTTACGTCTTTTTCCTTTTGTGACAACCTCAGACCATTTTGAGAGAGAAAATAATGAAGATGAAATCACCAGCTCTGATGACACACAACTATCGTATGTAAGGTTTGTACAAAATGTTCTCGTTTCAACTTAATGAAATTGATTTGAAACGTAGAATAAACAGGTAATGAAAGCAAAATTTTTTTCAGTGTTCTTCGGTGATTAAGTGAAGATACCTTCAAACGTTCTCAAAGGAGGCGGTGTCCTAGATCTTCCACATGCCATTTTGGCCGTTTTTACGATTGCCTTTCATCTAATATTCACGATTATGAAGTACAATTTTTTTTATGTATAACAGTTTTTAAACAGCCTTTCACGGGTAACTCATATGTCGTAGCTGTAGTATTTATTTGCCTCTTTGATCGTTCATAACAGCGTAGAAAACTGGTTTACTTGGCCATACTAAGGAAAAGAGAAATCTCTTACACGTAAGACGAACCAATAGATAACATTATGATGTCTTGGAGGAACGAAAATTTACCATTTTAGTCAAATCGTCATCTGCTTTTCATTCTCAGGCTAGATGTGCAATGAATTCTGAAGTAGTCTAACGCAACTAGCTCTCACCTTTTAATCTGCACAGCCCAAGACTTAGTAGCTTCTAAACAATGATTATTACCTTGTGCATTTTGTTACACAGTCATGAAAAGTTGGAAGTTCTTAAAGGAGATGTGTTTGACTCAGAATCACTAAATCCCATCCTTCAAGGCAAAGATGCTGTGTTATCTTGCCTCGGTGCGCATGGCACAAGTGTCTTTAAACACACAACCTTGTACTCAGAGTCAATGAAGTCAATATCAGCAGCGATGGAGAGGTATGTTTACATCTGAGAACATAAACAGACTAAGGGTTCTAATAAAGAATGGGTCAAAATTATCCATCTACATAAAGGGAATTTAGGACATAGATGAGAAAATGATACCATATGTTGCGTCGCACATAACGATCTTTCATGAAAACTCCAGGAAAAATCGCGAACCCAAAGCTTTCAATCCAGAATTTAATACACATCCGATAAGCCAAAGCATCTCTCGCGAATGTGTCAGAAGAGAGGTCTGGTGTTTAGAGTTAATGTGATAAGCACTCTCCAGGAAACATAAGCCTGCCAAGAAATATTATGACATAACCAAAGTAAGGTGCGCGCTCTGATTATATTTGCCCACGGGTGTACACTGCTGACCTAAGCAAATGCAAAGACTAATTTTCGCGCGCTTGTTTTTTCTGCAAGAGAATTTGCTACAATGTACCGATGTTATGTTATGGAACAAATGGTGAACACTGCAACGTACAATATTGAACAAATCGTGAATGTTGAACAAATCCATCGTGATCAGACAGAACGAGCGTGTGAAAAGCTAGTCAATGCATTTGCTCACGTCATACTTTGAGAATATCATTTTGTTTCCTTGTCTTCTATTGCATATTTGCACTAGGCAAAAGTGGCACATTCATCTTTATAGAAAACTTAGGATAGTTTACTTTCATTTGTTATTTTCTCCGTAAAGGAATAAAGTGGAGAGATTAGTGTGCGTAACATCGTGGGGCACTCGGAAAGAACCAGGAAATCCTAAAATAATGGAGTACTTGCTCAAGCCGCTGATAATGGCCGGATTCATACATGACATGGCGCTGATGGAGAGGATGCTAATGGAAACAAAGTTGAACTACACCGTTGTGCGTCCCCCAGAATTAAAAAATGGTGGATTAAATAATAATCTGTGTGATTTGTAATTGTTGTTGTAGGCTTGACGATTCGTAGAGGTCCAGATTTAAGCCTTGCCTGGCTCTGTATATCCAATAACTTTTCTACTTTTTCCACCCTGGAGTATACACTGTTACTAGAAAACTGTCAGGTACGGTGGGGCAGGGTCACTGGCAATGTCATAATATCCAATCCAGGGTAAGTTAGTAGTACTGTTGATAATGGATATTGAACTGAGTGGGGTGCAATTTGATCTGAAAACCAAGATTCAGTCGCTCTATAAAAGTTTGTTTTAGTCTGCATAATTGATTTATTGATTCAGTATATTTAGCTGGTTTGTATAAAGTTGCAAAAGTTGTCTCTCATTTCCCTGCAATTTGATTGATTTCATTAAATAAGCCTTAGAATTTGATTAGTTTTTGTGTTGTAGTAAGGCTGTCTCATTGGCTTTGAAAAAGATGCGATTTAGAGCTTGTTGTGTTATAGTGAAGCTGTCTCATTGGCTGGGAAATAGATGCGATTTAGAGCTTGAAATGGTACGATTTGTGAATAGATCGCTCCGGTGAGAGCCAATCAGATTGCAAGAGTCATAAATGATTTAAAAATGGATCAGTGCAATAAATCGCTTAATGTCTCAGTAATCGTGACAACCTCCTCCAGGTTAAGTTACTAGGATTCCTTCTGCTAAGCTGATCGACCTTTTAGTGTCTTGGAGAACTTAGGATCAGGGAAGTTACTAGCTCGTTAGGTGCCTAAAAGGAAGAACATCCACTTATCTTTTTAAAGCCCAACGCACTAGTCGTGCGGAACCAGTCAAATGATAAAAGATAATACCACTCGAGGCTAAATTTGTAATTCCTGCCAGCACGAGATCCATAAGGCTTTGTCTCCTCGTTCAGGTCCGGCTAAAGGAGATTACGCAGTGCAAGAAGGGCAGATTGTCCCGAACGCGTCATGGTCTATACCAAGAGCCGATGTTGCCGAATTCATGTTATCGTCGCTTAATACCCAGGAATGGGACAGAAAGTGCGTGGCCATAGGCAGGAAGTCGTGACATGTGATATGAATGGTATTTAAAGTATCTAACTGATTATTTAATACCTTTATAAGGAAGACTCCCTGTCAGTCAAATCAAGTAATAAGGGTCAAGGCCAGGGTCAAAAAATAGACTTTTGTTTAACATTAAACAGCTTTCCCTTTTTTTTTTCTTTCTTTCTTTTTTTTTGTGATTTCTTTTTTATTAGATGTTTGATAGATGACTGAAACTGACAAACAATATCACGGATAAAAATACGCCACAACATATCCAGGGTTTAGAAACTGATCTGAGTCATTTGACGGATAGTACACGTTGGCGCGCGCTGAAAAATGAAGGTGAAAATCATAACAGGTACTGCACTAGGTTATCCCTTTTGTTAAATGGAGAAAGCCAGCAAGTGACTTTATTTTCCTATGAATTACGAGTTTAAAGTCACCATTCCCACTGACTGTTTCGTATTGATACGAAGTCACGTTTTCAAGGGAAAACGACAGTGACGGCAGCACAGAAGGAAAATGGTATTGTCAGAGTCATTCGCGAATGCGGTTCAGCTTACGAGATTCTATAATTTCGCACAGTGCACGTATTACGCTAATATAAATGTACAGTATAAGATGTCGTTGCACTCTTTATTGTTAATATTACTACATCAGGTCTTCCTGTATTATCGAGTTATCTAAAGTACTTCAAGTATTTACTTTGTGTAGTGCTAAAGGACGAGACCACTGTAAACCGTTCCGGGGAGTGTTCTTTGAAGTAAACTCACAGACTTTGGTTAAACGATTAGCGTCTCTCTAGCGAAAGCTTCCCAGAAACATGAAGTTTAATTATGCCCATACAGTGCACTCCAGAAAGGCTCCCTATGAGGTTCTAAAGCCTTTTTTACACGAGACGGGATCTCCAATGACCCAAGCGCCATCGATTTTTTAAAGCTTTGAAGGGTCACGTTTGTTTTATTAGCCACTGCCGTCTCTGTAATGATGAACTTGCTACGATTGAGTTCCATGAAACCGGCTGAAATGCAAACTGAATTCCCTCGATCAGGAGAGCGGCCTGTTCAACGCGATGGGTTAAAAGATGGGTGAATAGTAACTTTCCGCCCCAAGCCTCTACCGCCTTCTTCGAGCACCCAGTTTACAAACAGTACGCCCAATTTTGTATTTACAACGACACGGTTAAAAGGAGTTCAATATTATCCACTTTATCTCTATATATCCAAAACTTCCGTAGTCTCGTGGGTTTTACGAAACTCATCGGAGAGACTGGTGGGCGCCTTGGAGACAAACTCAGAGCACTTACCTTCTCTTTGGTCAAGACCTCGCGACCAACAGCATTGTATTTTAGAAGGGCTTTCATCTTTAAACCCATAGATTTCGCCTGAACCGACTGTTCCTCAACAGAATCTGCAGTGAAGTGAATGCTGCACAGACAGCTAGAGTTTGCTGGGTTCACAAAATCGGATCACGTGTTTTTCACGGCTCTCGTCCTGGCGAAATAAGGATCTTCGGGCCATTTATGAAGGCTTACTGCATCGCTACGTGCATTGAAACATCCACCGGCCACACATCGTTGCGGCATTATTGTATTTTTGGGGCGCTATTTTGATTTTGAAGAAATCCCGGTGCTCCTTTGTAAGAAATCTCATCGGAAGTTGAATGAGTTCTCCCTTCTACGTCACTTTCGTCGGGAGGCAAAGCATCTAAGCTCCAACCGCGCGTTGAGAAAAGTTTCAAATTTAAACGAAAACTACGAAAGATTTACCCTTTTTTTTTTTTTTTTCAGAAGATCTGTTTTATTTAAGTTGTTGTCCGTCTTTTCTCAAAAAGTTATTTCAGGCGAGAGCCAACGTGATCAGCTGACTCACGATTACTGTCACGCAATATTTTTCTTTATTTTCTTTCTAATTAGCTGTGGTGTTCATAGTCAACTTAGTTGCGGAAAATTGTAAAGAGCAAGTTTAACGTTGAATCCTGGATAAACTCAAAACATCTTTCGTTTCTAGGGATATGTTCATTAGCGGTGTGACTAAGTGCCCAGTAGCCGGGCACGGTCTCAAATAGACTAAATGCCCGGCGCTCAGAAATCTTTACAGAATTTCTATTGAAAGGTTCTAATTTTTTTAAAAATCAGATGTTTGTTAATTTTTTTTTTTTTAGTGGACAAATTCTGCGAGCTTGTGCACTGTATAGACCCCACAATACCGCTCGGCCAGCCACGATCTCGAATAGCCTAAATGCCCGGCAGTCAGAAATATTCAGCACACGAATAGCCTTTATGCCCGGCTGTCGGAAACATCCCTCCGAATTCCGAGGAAGTACAGAAAACCTTTTTCACGGAGTATAGGTTTAGACAGCTTGTTTCGTTTTACCGCGAAGTTAGAGGGTCTCGAAAGGCCTAAATTCCCGCCAGTTGGAAATGTCCCCCGAATTCCGAGAAAAGTACAGAAAACCTTTTTCATCACAGTGAAGTTGTACTTTTATTCAGTGTAACAGGGCCTCGGGTATTTAGTCTATTTGAGACCGTGCCCGGCTGAAATATTTAACCCTTTACACCCTAACATCCGAATGCATATTTTCCATACAGTTCTCTATACATTCCCTAAGGTGCTGACAAAGTTTGTGATCATTTCCTTTTTTCTCATGATCTTTATTTTATTCAGGCGTTTCATTGTAAGGAGAAAGTAGATGCCAGTCTCTGTCAGGGGTTAAAGAGTCAGAGTGTCGACAACCGAGGGGAATGTACCACTGTCCATTTTCCACCGAATAAACAGATTAATTTTTGGAATCGCTTTACATGTCTAAACAAACATTTAATATCAAGTTAGGAAGTTTGACGCAGCCCCAAACAGTTTCTTTAGAAACTATCAACCTTTATTCATTTGTATTTTGATTGCTGCGACCACTAACTTTTGTCTTGCCACCGACGCAGCCCCAAACAGTTTCTTTAGAAACTATCAACCTTTATTCATTTGTATTTTGATTGCTGCGACCACTAACTTTTGTCTTGCCACCGACGCAGCCCCAAACAGTTTCTTTAGAAACTATCAGCCTTTACTCTTTGAGATCGTGCCCGGCTGCCAGGCATTTGGTCACATTTATTTCGGTACTGCCTCGGCTCAGCGCTGAACTCAACTTTCATCACAAAAGGGGAAAAAATGTCAGATCATCGGCGCAAGTTATGCTTCAATCGATTCATATGCAGAATTGAGAGTCAAGACCCGAAAAACTACCTAACGTTTCCAATCTCGGGGGCACTGTCAGGAGCTTAGAGGTTAACCCAGTTTACTCCACCAGGAAGAAAATATCATGACGTCTCGAGTAGCTTCTAATGATCGTGTTCACAAGGCCAAGCACGTTGGGCAACTCTCCCGACCCTTCAATCAAAAATTGTCTTAAAAGCGAGTTTGTTAAATCCTGGTTGAATTTTTGGTAGGAAAAAGCTCTAACTATCGCCTGTTTTATTCCACCTTCTCCAAAGCCGACCTGTAATATCTATTGTCAAATGCAGTGGAACCTCGATTTAACGAACCTCTACATAACGAAGTCCCCGCTATAACGAACGATACGTTTCAGCCCGGCTTAAGTTACAGTAAAATGTATGCCACAGAACCTCAATATAACGAGCCTCGATAAAACGAAATCATCGTTCTAACAAACACAATCCAGAAGCCCAAACATAATATACAGATACCCTGATATAACGAACAAATGGCAACACCTCACCAAAGACAGATGCGAAACAGACTACAGTGCAGTACTGTACAGTGGTGTTCTTTTGTTTAAAACTGTACACACACTTTATGTTCATTATGACATATGACAAGTCATGCACAAAAGAAAGGGAATTTCCGCGCTCTTTCTCTTAAATGAAAGGCGCATTTTAATGAAATGTTTTGATTAAGCGTCTAGATGACCAATTTTAGTTGTAAAGTAAAGAATGACAAAAAAATAAGACCATTTTCATGGGAAGAATTTTTGATTGGGCGCCTTGATTAGTAATTTTAGTGGTGAAGTAAGGTTGGTTTTCTTTTGTTTAAATTTTCTATTCTGTTAACGTTTTCAATATGGTATTTGACAAGCCAGTTGCAATTTTTAAAATTTGGTTGACCCGTTTAGTTTTCGGTGCTGTAGCCACAGGGAGCCCAGACAAGCGACGAGTCTGGTTGTTTATTCGAAATATAAAGGAATGTATGGGAGAATATTGAGGTGTCTTATTATCGTAAACTTATATCATGAAATGTCTGAGTTAAAGCTCAAAATAAATGTAAACCTACCTCACTTGCTGTCTATTGTCGTTTCTGTGGCTCTAAATGGCGAATTTGAGCGATTTAGTGGGTTTTGCGTCGACTGTAGCTGGTACATTCACTATAAAACAACGGTCGGCTACACAAACAGATTGTATGGGCCCCCTGTGGTTTATCAGTTATTTTTTTAACAATTCACCCTATTTGGTGTCAAGATGATTTAAATGACAATTGCATGCCACTAATTTGACATAAGGTCGTAACAAGCTCGTTCGCCGAGGTCACTTTGAAATCATTTCGGTAGCTGGCGCATCGAGATGATTCGCTCTTCTTGGAAAAAAATAACAGCAGAAGAATTCGTAGATATTTTCCTTTGAGGCAATCTTCAGATGTCCTGCAGTGTGGCTAATGACAGACACTGATCCTCTCGATTAACTGAAATATTATCCGGCACTGAAAAAAGTCCCTGCGATATGTCGGTGCGGTTTCTCTTTGTATTCCAGGAGTCCGTCTCATCAGATTGGCTAAAGTTTGCTGTGATTTCAAACGCTCTCTTTGTGATGTAGAGGGGTGACTGCTGGCTATTCAAAAACTACGCTTATCAACCTCAAGAAACCTGCACACGGAAAACGAAATTCTTGTTTCCTTGATCTTCAGCAGCAAACTGAAAGGTAGATGATTAATCCTACATAAATAGGAGTCGCTGAGGTGTTCGCCGATTTTAGCTGATCTATATTTCTGATTACAGGGAATAAATGGCCTCTGTTCCTATAAGCCAAGCGTACGTGCAACGGCTCACGAAGAAAACAGAGCGTGAACTGACATATCGTAATATGCAAATACAGATTGACAAACATGTCAAAAAACGTCCAAAGTGCTTTTTTCAGAGTGTTTGCTTTCTAGGGAAGATTTCAGCAACCTGCCAAGACCAAGCGGTGAAAATTTATATTGACAAAAATGTCACCTAAGCTCAACAGTGGAGGCTAAAACTCAAGAAACAAAAAGATTTGTGTGGATATTTTGCGTTACGGCGCTTTTCACTTTTTAGACAGTTCGTGTGGCTTTTGCGAGTGCTTTATTGTCTGAAGGGAACGCTTCGTTAAGTACTACTACTGCTTAATGAAAGTGTCCATTATACGAAATTTGTTTTTTTTTTTTTACGTTTTCTGGCTGATAGCTGTGTTTAAAATGTAAAATAATCGACCTTAGCGCCTAAAGAACAAGTGCTTAAACGACATAAACGTCCAATACCAACTGGTGCTAAGAAACGTCTCTATGAAGCATTCATATTATCACTTATTATATGGCTGTGTCTCACAAAGACTGGGAACTACCGAATTCACGAATTTGATTGGCTGAAATCAATATTGAAAGCGGTCTAGATTTTCCCATCTAGACCAGCATCTAGACCGGTGTAGAAAAAAAAGGGTACAAAGAATATACAAAATTGGCATTTAAGACACAGCCGTATAATAAACATCTTATTAATCGAGCTAGGTCGGTCTGTATGGGAGAATCTTGACCTCGGTCGCTGGTACAGACCTCACTGCGTACGGTCTGTACTGGCAACCTCAGTCAAGATTTAGTTCTTATCAACCGAGCGGGAGGTCTGTATGGAAGAATCTTTACCGAGGTCAAGATTCTCCCCTACAGACCGACCTAGCTCGGTTAATAAGATGTTTATTATATGGCTGTGTCTTATATGCCAATTTTTATATTCTGCACCTTTTTTTCCTAGACCGGTCTAGATGCCGGTCTAGATGGGAAAATCTAGACCGCTTTCAATATTGATTTCAGCTAGTGAAATTCGTGAATTCGGTAGTTCCCAGTCCTTGTGAGACACAGCCATATAATAATCTTCCATGCAGACCTCCCGCTCGGTTAATAAGAACTAAACCTTAATTATTGTTCTATCATCTGGAATCACTGCGGCAAAAAGAATGCTGATAAACTGGAGAAAATTAATGAGAGATTTCTCCGTTTTGTCTTCAATGACTTTCACAACACTTATGATAGATTATTGGATTACATTAATCAACCCTGTTTATAAGACCGCAGATTACATGATATGTTGACTCTTACTTATCGAGCCCTTAATGGTAACACGCCTGTATTTATGAAGAATCTACTCAATGAAAGAGATATTTCTTACAACCTACGTGGCCAACGTCTTCTTAATGTCCCCAGGGTTAATACTACAAACTATGGCTTACATTCTTTCCGTTATTCAGCCAGTAAACTCTGGAACTCGTTACCAAACTGACTTAGAACCGCACCTTCGACGAAAGCGTTTAAACTAGCTGTGAATCAAATTAAATTTAATCGTGATTGTTGTTCTTTTTGTAATTTAGCTTAAAATTTTAATATCTTATTTCTATACATAATTGTTTAAGTCTATTTAATTTTTACTCGGGCTTTCGTGGGAAAGCCCGAGTCTAAAAATACAAGCCGTTTTAATTGGTCGCCAAAATTCAAAAGGGGGGTCATGGTCCCAGGCGTTCCTTGCGTAAACCGCGGAAACTGGGGATGAGAGTGCGATAACTTGTGTTAACGTGAGCTCGCGTTTGGTAAACAGCGTAATTTACAGAATGCTGTGTCTTATGAAGAATCCTGTCTTATACGCTCATCCCACATGAAAACGCACACGCCGTTCGTGGAAGGCCCACGCTAAATGATGTTGTTTTCGGAATGGTTGTTTCGGAATGATGCTGTTTTCGGATGTTGTTTTCGGAATTGGCCGGCCCACGAACTTCATTGCTTGAAAGCTAGCCAAATGTGGCATGTGGATAGTTCATACTTGTTCTCACGAGATAACAAATGAGCCACATGTGAGTTCAAACTACGAAAATACTGGAAAAACTGTGAAGGCTGATTTAACAACAGACTATGATGCCGAGACGAACACCTCGCTGAAAAGAATCAAGAATGTTCGTGAACAACTGTAATACTGACAGAAGCAACTTAAATAGTAAGGTTAAATGTATAAACTTAGCACGTCCATTAGATATCCTGTTTCTGTTACTGGTTTATATTTGGTTATATTTGGTTTTATATTTGGTTTATATTTGTAAAGTACGATTTGGTATTTCGTACTGGTTCATGCGTTAGCGTGCGTTCATCGAGACTTGAAGCACGCGGGAAGTTTGGAGATCACGCTCGACGCGCAGGTGAGAGCAACTCTGGCTTCTTGAGTGCTTTCCAAACTTCCCAAGTGCTTCAAGTCTCGATGAACGCACAGCTGACACATAAACCAATTTTTTTATCACATTTCCAACGCTCTCGTTTATGAATAAAGGGCAGAAATTCCCTCTCTGACGCCTCAATGCAATGCGTTGTTTATTTTGTTTCGGAAAAGTATTTCGCTATACTTCAATGATCTTGTCTCAGATTGGTCAAAAACTGACAGGTGAATTTATGCGTGGAAATGAAGTTTGAGTTGCGAAACGAGATGAAACCGTTGATTGTTTTGTTTCCCTTTCTCTGTGTTCATTCTCGGGAGTTAAAAAATCCATTCCCAAAGAAAAATAGGCAGTCATCTTCATCGGCTTCGCTTGTTGCCAAGTCTAGTTTAACTTTTTTGCGGAAGTTTTTCCCCTTTTTTAAGAAAAAAAATGCTGAAGTCACTCGCGAGAAAAAAAATTTTTCGTGAGGCGTTTGTTTGCTGACGAAGCCCGAGTGAACAGCTGAACGCTCCTCGAGCGTCTAGTTATTTTTTATATCATCGAAGATATTAGCATAGTTGTTTGCTATCTGTAATTCGAAGTTAGATAAAGGTTTTCACTTTCACTTCACACCACGACATGCAACGCAGGCTACAAACTCTATACAATTCCAGCATATTTTCTACTCACCAAAAACGCTCTCAAAATTGCCCTTCTACATAAGCTGTAAGAAAGAATGAGGTTTCCATTCACGAGAATCCTCAAATTTAGCGCGTCAATGCGTAAATTTCAGCAAAAGACATTCTATATTCGCAAGGGAGCCACAACTTTACGCATCGTCTTTGCCCACGCACTGCGTATGTGCCTCGGTTCGGAAAAGGTACCCTCAGGGGAGGAGTAAGATACTCATTCCTTCAAGAAATTTCTGTTCTCGAGTCCGATAAATTGCATTTCGATAGAAAATAAGCATTTTATATTTATTAATCTTCTACCATGAGTAAATTTGTTTTTATTCGAGAAAAAACGAACCTCACATAGACAAAATTTATTTCGTAATTTTACCCTTACCCCACCGTAGCTAGTGATCTTCTTTACGTCTTTGTTCAGTGATTTTCCCGCGCAAGTTTGAAGATGGCGTTGAGAGAAAATGGCGGCCAGTCCATCAAACGGACAACAAAACTTCCAGCAAAGGTTGTGTTAATTCACTCAAAGGACCTGGTAAACCTCTGTGATAAACTTCCTAAGGTACCTAACCGGGTAAGGAAATTTATTGTTTCGTTTTCAACACCGCTGAATATTTACAACGGCGTTGCTATGTTAACATTTTATCGGTTGTCTTTTAACTTGATCTACAGGCAATCAATCTGAGGGAACTCTCTTCTTATGTTTTCTCTCTTGCTTCCAGGCATCGTTAACTCATACTTTGATTATAGCCTATGGACTCTTGGAAAATACTAGGTAATTAAAACTTTCATGGTAGCTTGGAAAGTAGAACTACTTATCAATTGTTCATATTCGTCAACACTATTGTACATGGATCGTTAAACTATTGCCTGAAATCAGCTTAAAATGTATAGGCACTCCTTGTAAGAAAAAGTGTAATTTTGCATGAAACAAGACTTAGAAAAAATTCTTTATTTTGGGTTACGATAGGGTTTTTTTTTCCTCAAACTGAATTCCAACTAAAGGAATTTGAAAATATAGCTATCATATCAGTACCTGCTCATCAAGAAACAGGTCTTTCTTGTATTCATGATAAGGTCTATTAATTTGTCTTTCATTAATGTAGTTAATTTTTCACAACAATCATAAACATATCATCATGAAATAATAATTATTTTTATAACTAATTTTGGTTTGTAAATGAACAATTACCACTTTCCTTTATCAGTTGTCATGTTTTCCACATATATATCCCTGTGTAATTTCTTCCTTTGCATTATTGCTTTACCCTTTACTCTCTAACATCAATATGCATGTTCTCCATACTGTTCTTCGTACATTTACTAAGGTGCTGACAAAAAGAATTTGTTTAACAATCAAGACCTTTTTAAGTTGGTGATCATTTCCTTTATTCTCCTGACCTTAATGTGTGATTCAGGGGTGATATTGTAAGGAGAAATTAGATGCAGGTCTGACTCTTAGGGGTCAAAAAGTTAACTGCTGGATAAGTGCATCACCTGTATTGGTCACTTTTAAGAGAAAACACTTCCCACGCCAGGGGTGTGTCTATGAGAGCACTTTGAATGAACAACTAGTGGTAAGTAATTACTACCACAGCATTTCAGTTGTTTGGATAGTGAGCTACCTTGTGCAAGTTCAAGGATTTGAGTGCAAAGGTAGATGGTAATTAACTTAGATGTAACTGGCTAGAAAGCCTGACAGATCTCTTTATTATGGTATAAGGAGCAGTAAGTATTGCATTAATGTGTATTGACCAATGAAATCATCCAGTTGATGAATTCATTCACAATCATTAGACAAGCAAAAACAAAAGATTAGGCAAGCACAGGGAGCTTACAACACAAACAACTGCACTTAATTCTGGTAGGGTTTCTTATCAACGCTTCTTTTCACTATGGTATGATCAACACTCACAGTCAGGTTTGTGGAATATCTTGTAGGAATGCCTTTGCAATAACGTATCCCATTAATTAGATCTACAATTTAGTTGTCCTCATGACTCCTGGATAGAGTTAGAACTGTACAACCACTCCCCTGAATAATCGCTATAAGGACTGGGAGGTTGTTCAGCTTGAGGCTAATCCGGTGTAAGGGTTTGGGATTAGCCCATCAACCTAAATTTAAACCTGTTTTTTTTTTTTTTTTTCACAAATTATTTGAATAAGCAGAATCTAATTGCTAATTTGATTTTTTTTTTTTTTTTAACACACACACATACATTTACCAGCTGTGATAATTATGTCTAATAATGTTAAATTTTCGGTAGAATTGTTGAACCACGGCAAGCCTCAGCACACGAGCTTTCAGCATTTCACTCTTTGGACTATGTTAAGTGCTTAGAAAAGCTTGCAAGCAACTGTGATGATGAGGAAATGGAAGAAACAGCTGCTGAATATGGCTTGGGTATGTAAGCAATCAAATAATTCATACTTTACATTGTATCAGGTCAGTGTTTTAGGATCAGCAGAAGACCTAGTTAAAAAGAGGAGCTCTCCTCTTATTGATAGAGCCAGGCAACAGGTACTGCACAAGAGTATGTTTGAGAGTAAAAGCAAAAAAAAAAATTGTTCCAATTCATTTCTATTTTTTTGCAGGGTTTGACTGTCCCTTATTTGATGATTTGTTGGATTGCATGTCGGTTATTGCTGGGGGTACACTCACTGCTGCAGAGATGTTGAACAAAAAGGAATGTTCCATAGCAATCAATTGGCAAGGAGGCTGGCATCATGCCCAAAGGTATCAAGAGCAATTTCTGTTGTACCCGTTCAAGCAGCTTTCAGGATTTCTTTGCTTTTTATTTTCTACATTTTGTTGTTTTTGTAAATGGTGTTTGATAGTGACCAATTTGTGACTATGGCAATCATTTTTTTTTCCTCACAAAAGTAATCCAGCTCCATAACAAAAAGAGAAGTTACAGATATAGGTTTTGGTTTACCCTAAATTTCTCCTCCCTGTATAACTACATTATTGCTAAAACCTGTAATGAGAATAGGAAAACTTATCACCTGCATGTGTAGAAGGCCCAATATTGATTAATTTAGTAACCAAAATATATAATATGTTTAGCAGCTGGAGGTAAATAGTAAAACAGGCTCAGGGAGTTAAAGGTCTAGCAAAGGATCAAACAACATGGCATTGCTTGTCAAATTCCAAAGACAATTTCAAACAAAGCAGGGGATGTAGGTTTCCTTGAAATAAGTGAGCAACTTGAATTATTTTTGTTAGGAATGAAGCATCTGGATTCTGCTACATCAATGATGTTGTCCTGGGAATTTTGAAGTTGAGAGAGAAGTTTGACAGGATTCTTTATGTTGACATTGATCTTCACCATGGAGATGGTTTGTAAATTATTACAAAGTACCCTTGCAAATTCCAAAGGTTCGACATTGCTTTTTCAAATGATTTTACAGAGATATTCATTGAAAATTTTGTTTGCAGGTGTTGAAGATGCTTTTTCTTTTACTTCAAAAGTGATGTCAGTATCATTTCATAAATTTTCCCCTGGATTTTTCCCAGGTAATTTGTGACAATCTTATTCCTTTGTGTGCATCCTTGTCTTTTTCATCCTTGCTGTATGAAACTCCTGTATGTTGGGCCTTGAGCTACTAATGCATATCATCAGTCCACTGCCTAAGTCATGTTAATATTGACAGAATTGTGCCTCCAATTTTTCTTATGTTATACAGTTAATGAAAAATATTTACTAGGTTTGTTGTGTAAGCCAAGGCTGTGGTCTGAGAAAAACTAAAGACAGCCCACTGCTCTGAAACTTTGAAATACAGGATGCCCAGCATATGCTTTTATATGAAAAAACTAAAATCCAAAGTTGCCCAAGTGCAAAAGTAGGGTGCCAGGGGGCCACCGGGCACTGCTAGACTGCAGCCTTAGTAAGGAAAACTACATTTTAAGGGCAAAATAATCGCTCCAGAGTTAGCTAACAGTTAAGGTTAGGAGTATAATTATAATTATTTTATTAAAATCTGGATCCTTGGATAATGCAATTCAAGACTTTTATTGGCTTAGCCATTATGAGCCAGTATACCATAATCTACAAATATGGTAAGCATTAGCTTAAAACCAAAAGGGAGCTAAAAAATCCAGTTTCTTCTCACAAAATAATAATTTCCTGGGGGCATTTTTAATAAAACAACTATTCCACTCGCGCTTGTTGGATATGATATGATTATAGCCAACTCGGCGCTACGCACCTCGTTGGCTATCTATTATCTCATATCCAACACACACTCGTGGAATAATTGTTAAATACTACTATAACTATATTATCACCAAAGAGTCTCCGTGGCCCAGTAGTAGAGCACTGGAGCGTGAAATCCAAGTTTTGTGGTTCAATTCCTCATGGAGACTCAGAATTTTTTCTTTGTCCAACACTTGTGACGAGACGAAAAACATCTTTCTCTATTTCTTTATGGAGCTAAAAACTTACTGTCTTTTTATTCTATAGTCACAAAATATGATACTATCAACATTGTCCATCCTAGCAGTATGCAGGACATGTCATATATGAACTTCGTAATGGGCCTTGCTCACAATAGTCTCTTTGGCTCAGTGGTAGCTAGAGCATTAGGGCACGAAATCTTTGGAGGTTCAATTCCTTATGGGGACTTAGAATTTTTTTTCTTTGTTCCATGCTCATGACAAGATGAAAAATGTCTTTCCCTATAATAATAGTGTTCAAAATTTTTTTATGCATTTACACCTGCATAGGCACAGGTGGGTGTCATGATGTGGGTTTAGGCAAAGGAAAGTATTACACAGTTAATGTACCCCTCAAGGATGGAATTACTGACAAGCCTTTCATAGAAATATTTTCAAGGTAAGCAACACTGCAAAGCTTCATAGATTTTTGATTGACAATCAACATGTTCACTCTTCAATTTTTTCTAAGAATTATAATTTCATAGGTTCCTTCAGTAACTGTCAATCTGCACCATGTCATAACATCCCACATGACCTAGTGCTTAATTTAGCTCCTTTGGTATCAGAGGTTGTTTCAAAGGACCTTGGCCTGAGACAAAAAAAAAATTTACTCTAATCACTCTGTAGTTCCCCTCACTGTCTCTCATGCTCCTAATCTGTACCTCTGATTATTTCTTTGTTCTGTCATTTTTTTTGTCTAATAGATTTAATTTCCTTGCTGCACTCTGTAGGGTCATGTCAGAAGTTAAAAAGAGATTCAAGCCAAGCATAGTTGTTTGTCAGTGTGGGGTTGATACACTAGCTGGTGATCCCATGGCCTCTTTTAACCTCACTCAATATAGCATTGGAGAGTGTGTGAAATACCTGATGGAATGGAACTTGCCTTTGTTATTACTTGGAGGAGGTAGGTCATCTGGCTGGTTTGAGGTTTAAGTCCTCTCAAGGGACCCAGAAGTTTTCTTAGTCCCATGTTTATGACATCTATGTAACATCTTTCTATGAAGAAAACTATCAAAAGTCTTTGCATTCCTGGTGACATCATGATTAAGAAACTGTCACAGGCCAGGATAATTTGAATTCAGGCAGAAGTGTCATATTCAGATGTTATGTTACTGTGTTTCCTTTTTAGGAGGGTACAATGTCAAGAATTCTGCAAGGTGCTGGGCATATCTGACTGGTGTGGTTCTAAATCAACAGTTGTCACCTGATATCCCAGAACATGAGGTACATATAACACTTACAGCAATGGTAAAATATACTTTTGTTGTCTTAAAAGTTAAGTAATTTATCCACCCAGTTACATTTTAAAATATTTTCTTTTGCAGTATTTTCTGGAATATGGACCTGATTACCAACTCCATATTCCTGCAGGCAGGAGAAAAGATATGAACACCCCAGAAGATATTGCAAATCTTCTCAACACTGTAACAGGTATACAAAGTACAAACATTTATGTATCATTCAAGTTACAACCACCATAAGGTTTGTGTCCATCTGAAAGGCAACCTGGAAGAAGGTAATTGTGCATAACAATGCAGGGGTTTCATTAAGGGCTGGGCAGCGGGCAAATTGACCGGTCGCGAGGACGGTTTTGCCCACCTGGTTTGACAATCTGGAGAAAAGTTTATCTTAACGAAGTTCAGTTCAAAAAGGTTCAGTGGCCCGCCTATTGAAACCAGTTACCCTCCTGCTGAAAACGTTCATGAAACCCTTGACAATGAAATGTTTTCTAGAGGCGAGATTTTAACCACCACAAAAAATTACAAAACTGATAACAATGTTCCAACTTACCACATGACCACCAAACAAATGTCACCTAAATGGTGTCTTTCACAGTGAGCTCAACAGTCAGAATTTTTTTCTTCTCACCATGACAACAAAAAATGGTCGCACCTTGTAGCACTGAGACTGTATCTTTGTTTGTATATTCTGCTTGTTAGTTTTGTACTTTTAAAGATTGATTTATTATATAAGATCCAAATCTTATTCCATTCAATTTTCAGGAAATCTGCAGAAGATTAGATGACAAATTTAACAATAATTAGCGCATGTGGATTTTTGCCAATGGACAAACTTTATCAAATTTTTGAATAATGTTTATTTTGAGGTAATGCATTTTTAATTATTAGAATGCTTACCAAGAATTGAGACAATTTTGCGAAATAATTTGCCTTTTTATTCTCACCCTGTAAAATATTTATTGTGATATTCAGGCAGTTGTTGGAAAATATTTTGTTTCAGTCTACTTTAATCAAGAAATCATTTTTGTACTGCAAAAACAAGAATTCTCTCTGTAAAATATTTCAAGTGGAAACAAGTGCTTTAGATAAGAAAGGTTGTTACATTATAAACTTGTAAATGATTTGTTTTCCACAGCTGGATATTAAAAGTGTGGTCATAAATAACCCATTGACACTTACGTGTAACACGTGCCGACGAAAAGTCAAAATTTTGGAGAAACCAAGAAGGCAAACACAATGCGCAATAAATTTTTAAAAATCAGCTTTTCCAAAAAAACAAGCTCCAGTGAAAGAGGACTAATTAAAGAACTTATTACCGGCGAAAAAAGCGATAGGTGCATTTTACGTTTTAACTCAAAAATCAAGATGAAAGATAAATATTTTCGCATGTGTGAAAATGGGCATGTGGTCATGGGTTCTGTCCTCGTGTACCGGTTCACAAGAGCCAATACAAAAGACCAAACAAAACACAATAGCTAACCGATAACTCCTAAACAAAGAAAGAACAATGGTAATTCCCTTGTGAACCGGTACACCAGGACAGAACCGGATCATGTTTCAAAAGGGAATATGCAAATTTGTCCGTGAGTGAAGAGATCTCAAGTTCCATGGAATCTATCAATAGGAAGCAAGACTAAAATGGCCAAGAAATATTTTGGGACGTCAGATTTATTCAAAACAGTTTTGATTTGCTGTTATAAGCGAACAACGTACGAATTTCTTACGTGCACAAAGCCCACGCGGTAAAATTCATCATGCTTAGATCGATGTTTACTTGCCTTCATGGCCAGAAATTGCGCAGCGTTATGTTGAAAATTCTGAAAAAACTTCGATTTGAGGCAAATTCTTCTATTAAACTAAACTTTTTTAACACATTGTTACTCGAACGTAATATTTACCGGGCCAACGAATCGTCAAATTGTCGCCAGGCCCTGCTTGAAGTCCGAAAGTTCGGTTTTCACTTTACGTCCATAATTCGCATCGCTTCAGGAATCGTAGTGTCGTTGACTCGAGAGCTTATTCTGTCACTTTTAAGACCTGGATATCCATTCTTTTCCAAGCAGAGTATTCTATGGCATTGTTACTTTACATTCTGAATTCCACAAGGTCTAACTCGATTGCAAATGAGCGAAAAATACGACCTGAAAATTTTGAGGGTCGGCAGCGTGAACTCCATATTTTCAAATTTGATCATTTAGTGAAGACGCATAGAATAATGCCCCTCTAGTACCCCCTAAAGTCGACAAAATATATGCGCAAACAACGGATTCTGATTGGCTTATTGATCTCCAAACTATAGAGGAAGTTTGGGGACAAAACTCCACTTAGTAGGGGAGGTAGGGGGAAAGCGTTCTCGCGCGAGGTTCGGGCGGTTCAGGTGTCAATGTGATAATTATATAATGTAATAAAAAATAACACCAGCTTAGTGAAATTACTGTCAATCACTTGAATGTTTTTTGAAGATTATTTGATTTGAAAGTTAATTATTAGCAGCAGTACAAATAGCCATGCAGCTATGAAATGCATTCCTTCTCCCTTTCTTTCTTTAATGATGACAATCTCCAACTTTAAATCTTTGCAGTGTCGTTATTGACACTCTGGTCGGAAAAGGGGAATGATGTATAAGATAAGCTTGCCAATGATCCTTAGATTTACTGTTACAGTACTCTGACTCCTTACTGGTTCTTCGGGTTTTCTCCTATTTCTCTCAACCAATTAAAATTAGGGTCCTGGTGCAGTTCTCACAGATTCACCATAACTGAGCCCCTTGAGCCCTTTTTCACATTTGTGAAATAAAAATGCAAGAAATTTAATACATTTGAGTCCAATGCACAAACAGTTCAGAAAATTTCATCTGTCTCCAAAAAACTGTTTTGGGGTCTTTTAATAGGGAATGATTTTTACTACCATAGAGCATCAGCCCCCACCAATGATGGGTAAAATATTCCCAAATTAAAATTATCACAAAATTACCAGACAATTTTTTCTTTTTTTATTCTATTATGAAAATAATTCTAATTTTGTACATGGTGGTCTAGTATTAAAAAATAACATTTTTTTAAAGAGATGCTGTGTGCATAAAAATACATGTATATGTACAAGTTCAAATATGAACTATACAACTGGAAAATATTTGAAACTCAGGTCTTTTTTATCAAAAATAGAAGGCAATTAGTCATCAAGCCACCATTTGTTTTCCATTTTTTGGAAATATTTTTGAATTTATATCTTTACAAATTCATAGTGAAAGTCTTTTGTACCATTGTGCAAAACTCTTAATGCAAATCAAAAATATTTAAATATAATATAAATGAATCTTGAGCTTCATTTTGTGGCAAGTTGGAGAAAACTGTCTTTCTTTGAGTCAGGTTCAGTTATTAGCAGAAATTGCCATGGTCCCACTTTCCAATGGTGACAGATCACTAACTCAGAAACTTTAGAACCTCCAAACCCCTCTTTTTTTTTAATGTCAAAGCTCTGTTATATGCCCTTCATAAAGAAGTGACCTGCGTGTATTTGTCTGACTGGTCACTATGGCTCATTTAATCTCTTCTAAACTCTCACTACCAGTTAGCTAGTGGCTTTGATGCAAGTTATCAGATGAGTCAGGACAAGATTTCTTTAGAAAGGCATGTCATTGCAAACACTACATACTTATAATTTTGCCCAGAAATGCTTTGTATATTATTCTTGGTTTAGCTGTGGTATTGTTTTCTATGGTGACAGCCAAAAAAAAAAATGATTTCTTGATCTGTCTCCTTTTTGTACCATTACCATTATGTTATTTTACAGAACAGCACTTGTCCAAAAACGGTTAATCCTTACAACAGGATGAATCATTACAGTACTACTTCATGGGAACATGTGGTTGCCTTTATCATTCTTAACCACTCTGAATTAACTTTTTGGTGGAAATGAACTGCTACCAATTTATGCTTTGCTGTGTACTAATTTACATTAATTCTATGTTGTGGTAAAGGCAATAAATAATGTTTTGAAGGGAACAGTCTGACCTTACATTATTAGCAGCTACAGTAATGTTAGTAGAAATAGATTGTGAGGCTAACTCTTGGTTTCAGTACATGTATGTCATCCATGTGATTCAGGAAGCTGCAGCACAGGTGTTAGCAAATCAGCTGGTTGCCAATTATCTAAATTCTTAACCTCCTCAATTTCCTCTCTTTTTGCCTTTCTCTTCTGTCTTTCTTCAAAAGTGGTTCTAGAAGATTAAACAAGAACCATGTGCATTTAGGTATCTTGTATTAAACTATTAAATTCTCACAACTGAATCCTATTTTAATTTGTTTTATCTTAAAACTTACCTTGGTCTAGATGGCAAATCTTGAAGAGGAACAAAGGTGTCTGGTACATATTTTAGCAATCCACTGAAAAAAAAGCAAAAGAAAAAAAAACTGTTATTAAAGATGCATGAATTAAATATAACTGCCTAGGAAATTTCCTTAATCTTTTTTTTCATTTTTGAGTTAATCGATAGTAACCCTCAGTTTGGTTTATGATAAGTAAGTAATTGCTTTCAAATGAACCTTTGCTGACAATATAGAATCTGATATGTACTGTGTATGCACACGTTGCAGACCCATTTTTATCTGGTATGAGCCTATAATCTTAAAAAAAAAAATAAATCCACATGACTGTGTAGGTATACTCACCCAAACCTAACAATGGGCCTTGTACTACCCTGCATATGGAAGTCAGGTGAGTATTCTGGGACCTGGTAGCTCTTATCTCCTGGTGAGGCTCCAGGAATACCATTTCTTTGTTCAAATACTGAAAGGAAGTAAAAATTAAACAGGGTTTGTGTGAAATATTTATTGAATTAATTAATTACTGAATTAAACAAAGTAGGCAGTGTCAGATAAGTATTTTGTTTTGGAAAAAATACAAATTTGCTCAATAAATAAGAAATATACAAATTAAAATAACAAATGAGAAGGCTGAAATTTTTAGCCAGAATTAAAAATATTTTCTTGCATTTGTTTTATGTGTCAAGTTTGCAACAAAATAATAAACTTTAAAATAAGGAGTTACCAACATTTTCTTAAGAATATTAGAACCTTATGACACCTAGAAACCTTATTCCCTTCATGCATCATAACCAAATACAATTCTTTGGATAAGAACTGAGCTGAATCTCATATTTATTTAGGGACAGACTAGTAGAAATTCAGTTTTGGCTTGTGCATGGTTTTCAATTTCCATTGGCCAGTTTGGCTAGTAAACAAACTGAAATTGTCGTAACATCTAAGTTGTCACAAGCCACTACTACCAAGCTAGTAAGTTGAAAAGTTAGCCTCAAGCCCAGTGGTCCCCATCCTCTAATTTCTCCTTGCAGTAACACTGCTGAATCATTCATTTAGATAATGAGAATATAAAGGAAATGATCGACTGCCAACCTAAAGTGCTTTGATTGCTAAAAGAATTCTCTCTGTCACTACTACAGTAAAGGAAGAAAATAAGAGTGTGGAGAATATGGAAGCTTATGTTAGGAAATTACGTTAAGTCTTGCTCTTTGAAGACAAGATTACATACACCTGTTAAATATCCTGGCAGACATACCTGCTTTCTTTGCCCCAATAGACATTCTTAGAGATATCTCCAGTGGTCTTTGCAAATAAATTCTTTCAAAATCATCATATGTGTCATATACAACAGTAGGCTTGCCACAGCGTGGTTTCTCTTCCTCGATACTGTCTGTGTGATATGCTTGGGCTGCTAAAATTGAAACAAAATGAACCACAACTGTGATGAGACCAGTAATGGATATATGAATGCATGTACAACACCAATTTAGCACAAGTAATGATCATAATACTCGTTATATGTTGAAATATTTAAAAACAAATTCTTCAACAGTAACAGAACAGTCTTGATGATATTCCACATACTTTTTTGTACAGTTGAACCAGCATTAAGCAGTAACCCACAAGGAATAGCAGGGTAGCTAATAGCCTGCTTGATAATATACTTTAATATTTTAATATACCCACAGATTAGGGGTATTTTAAAAAACCATACACAATGCCACTTTACACCTTAAATCGATGATTTAATGTACAGCATCTTACTCAAAAATATTACATGCTTGTTAATTTGATTCAGGGAGTGGTAAACATAGATTGAAAATTACTTGAAAGGTTATTTTTTGTTTTATCTGAATGGTTCGGCCTTAAGCGACTGTTCAATACTGGTGGACAACAATAACAAAAAGGCTGTTGGGACTAACAATAAAGGGTGATGCCAAGCACTTAAGGTGACTGCATAATAAAGATCAAAATTACAGTGATTAAGGGGAAATAAATTCTAAACTTTGGCACCTGACTGCTTGATACAGGGTGACAGCTGAATATGGTACCACTTAATGCTGGTTCGAATGTGTTCTATGTGTAACTGTTTGTTCATCTATTCATTTTTATACTGATTGTGGGTAGATTATTTTCCCTTAAAATCTTTGTGTGTGAATATAATAATTATTGTGGTTAATGCACTGTTTGCATGGTAGTTGTTGGCTTAATGACTTGCTGCTCTTAAAATTATTTTAGTCTAAATTACTGAAGTTTAATGTACACAGTAATATAATAATAATAATAATAAAATAACAGTTTATTCAGATTATATCCACATAAAAGGTGTGCCTCTTCATCTGTGAAGGTCTACGATACTAATATTTAATATTAAAACTAATTAAATTATAATGACTAAAAATTAAACTAAATTGTAATAAAAACTATACATGAAAGTAAATATGTAGAATATATTGGTTGGTGGTGGTGGTTGTTTCTATATCTTTATAAGGAAGACAAAGCGTGCGCCTTTATGAACGCCTTGCAGAGCCTGCAGTATTCTTGAAAATCTGTGGAATTCCTTATATTTGCTGGCAATTTGTTAAAAATCATGGCTGCTGAATGCTGAAAGGTGCCTTGTACAAATGGAATATAAAGCCTTGGAGCAACACTGGAACGGAGATGCCTGACAGGTTTAACGACTTGCAAATTTAAATGGGAGGGCCAGTTACAGAATACAGTGCTTTAAAAATAGTCTTTAAGGTAGCGAGTATTCCCTTTCTCCAGGATAGGTAGCCAGCCAAGATCCAAAACGGTAGATATACTGTTTACATATTTACAAGTGATGAAACTAGCCATAGCAAACTGGAGCCTTTGTAGTCTAGCTGAGAGGAACTTTGGTAGTGGACAAAAAACAATGTCACAGTCGCTTATTTTCGACAGAAAATAATGTGTAACCAGGTGAAAATATGTATAACCAGGTGAAACCTTACCCTCCTGCAGATCCCTGGCTTTAGCCTTGTTATTGTTTTTCAAGCTGTGGTATGGTGTTGCTTTTTCATGTGGCCTGTGAGTTGTTTGTGTTGTTTCTTCTAGAGGTGCACAACGAATGCTTGAAGTCCAGTCAAGACCATCACCTCCTCTAAAGAAATCACAACAATGCAAAACTAAATGAAATGTTGAATGTTCACTACATGCAATACTGAAAGTGAATATGATTAAAGGATGTTGGCATATCATGTTAAATGTCGCTGTTACTCACAAAATGAAAAAAATGCTCAACCATGCAGTTCAACTCCTGGAAGTGATTAACATGTAACTTCCCCCTATAATATCCATACATTATCCAGTAAACGGGTAGTGAGAATACTCAAATTTATCAGGTAGAAGTTGTTCCCTTGATTGGACACCAAATCTTCATAATCAATTTACAAGGAAATGTATAGCAGTTAGAGGGGAGAAGTAACAATCAGATCCTGGGAGTGATAGGGTTAAGGCCTGAACAATTGAATACACTGTATATTACTTGAGCTAGCTAATACTATAGTTATCTTCAAGTTAGTTGACAGTCTTCAAAAATTTTTCTTTCTTTGATGTTTTTTGCAAACATCAATGCTTGACAACTTGGCTTTGGTATCTTAGGGCGCTTACTTTCTTCCCATGATCAAAATCTTGTTGATAAGGTCACGAATTTAAGACACCTGATGCTCTTACTCAGAAATCCAAGTTCTCCCAAAAAGTTTGTGATTGTTGAATGCAAATTCATGTTTTCATGTAACTTACTTTGCGGTGTTATCAAGTCTACCAGGCACGGAGAGAGCGTTTCTGGGATGTGGCCTCCAATGTGGCTCCCCTATTGACTTACTGCCGAAGCCATCTCGGTAATATGGCTTTATAATGGGGTTCGTTAGAGGTTCATTCTTGCCTAAGAAATCAATCATAACATGCAACCTAACTCGCGACATGTAACAGGTAACGTTATAGGCACTGTACAGATGTTTATACGGAAGTACGAAACTGTAGCTTGACCCAACAACCTTTGATCCAATACTCACTTTCGATAGCATTCCGAAGAACTCTTCATTACATCCGTACGAATATTCATAAACTAATTTATTCCACCTTATTTACGAGGGGTATATACTGACTATGTATTCTGATCGATCAAATTAACTTCCATGCAGGAAAATGCTCTTGTTATTCAGTTCTTGTCAAATTATCGAGTCGAGGCCTTTAATTTGGACTGTTTTATTTTGTCTCGATCAAAATGCAAATCTTTCAACTTTCACTGTTAGGTAGCATTAGTTCTTTTGTTATAGGTTCATGTCTGACTATACGTTTTCTAAAAAGAATGATAATGAGGTAATGTAGACAATAGCTTACCTGCAACGCCCGGAGTTCGGAGAAGAACCTCGGCCATTTTGATTGTGTATTGGTTATTACACGTGCAGCGTCTTCACCATGGCAACAGTAGACTGTGAATGATAGCTTTCAACATCTATTTTTTTATACAGATATATAAATATATTTCATTTTCACTACCATTAGATGTATGGAGATTATTCGAGATATCTTTCGAACATAAACATAGTCAGGTAAAGAAAGATAAATAAAAATAGCGGAAAACGCTAATTTTCTCGGAAACCTTACGCGAGATGTTTCATCTCGTTCCAGTCTCGACACAGATCATCTTGTACCAGAAAAACTGGGCACTACATTATTTTTCTGAATGGACCTACTTCCGTAGGAAGATTTCACACTCGGCAAGCCAACAACATAGCCATCCTAACTTCTTCCCGTTTCTGTTTACATGGTACAAAATGCGATCCAGCGGCTCAGGATCATCAGGAGTGAAAAGAAAGGCGTCTTGCCTCGAGAGTGGAGAATCGTCATCTTCTTCAAACTCAAGTTCACCATTGACTTCGAGAAGAGCTTTGATTAGAGCTTCGAATCGCGGAACGCTGAAGCGCGCTGGTCCGTATTTACTTGGGCCAAGATTGGGCAACTCGCCCGTTCGAAGCATTGTTCAGTGTTTAGCCAAAAAAGAAGGTACAGATGACTTTTATTCAATCAAAATTCTCACCCTAGCAGATCCTGGACGCGAAAGTTACGACGACAAGCAAGGAAAAATGTTGTTACACACAGAATATTCACTGCTCTCTCTCTTAAACGATCAAGATGGCGTTGTGCATCACCATGGACTTTTCAAAGACGAATATTACGAAGAAATACCGCTCGAGAAGGACTCTACCAATTCAACGGCAAGTCATCGCTCTCAAAATGCGTGTGCAAGACACTTTAGAATCCGACATCGTCTGTGTTTAGTTCTGGATTGCCTCTGTGCCCATGACTTTAGTTCGGAAACAGCGGACCTCATAAACCTTCAACATTACGTGATACGAGAGAAACGGTTATCCGAAAGAGAGACGATTATAATTTTCCACGACATCGTCAGAGTTGTTAAGTGTTTACATAAGGTAAGGATGCGAAGCGAATGGACATTTGGTAATGGTTTGTTATGGTATGAGATTTTTTATCCTGGAAAAGCTTTAGTGGGTTTACTATTTCAATCGAAGGCTCGAACTCCCTCTTCAATTAACGAGATAAGGTTAATTTGGTCTTGCTTAACTTTTTTCTAAAAAAAAAAAAATCGTGTCATTTGCAATCGAAATTTTCCTTTATTTTTATTAAAATCTTTAACAATTCGTGGAGGTTTTTGTTTTCGCTTGTATTTTCGTGTTTAATTTAAAAAAAGTCTTTGCGTGGGTTTAAATTAAGTATTCTAATCACGGAATTTCCTCTCGAGACTGAGTGGAATTCTTTGCTTGAATTCTCGTTGTAAAGGTTACTAATTTATTTCATGGCTAAATGCTTGGCATTTCATAGAATCCAACAGCTACAATATCTCGTTAAGGTCACAAAGATGATAAAAACGACCGTTTCCGCTTTAAAAAAATATACGGCTTGTGTAGTATTTTCTAAATCGATCTCAACAAAGAACTTAAGAAAACAAGCTTACAATCTACGGGGGCGTCGAGTAGCGTCCAAGTACATCAGCAAATTTGTAAGGTTCACTCCCACGCCACGTTGTGGCACTGAAAGCGTAAACGTTATTAAGGGTCTTTTGTGCTCAGTGAAACGTGGATGTGTGGGGGTGAAACGTCTTAACTGCATTTCATGTAATGGCTGACCTTTTCTTTGAATTAATGATGATAGAAGATTTCAATAATGGCCACTAAAGTCAATCCATGGATCAAATACACTAAGCCCTCCGGAAAATGTGCTCAAATGGAAAATGAAATATTTTGAATAACATTTACTATAATTTTGGTAAAATTACATTATATAGTGAAGAGAAGGTGAAATTAAATGAAATAGGTGGGCTGTTCAACTCAAGAAGGATAAGGTCAATATTTTTTCTTAGGGTGGCATTAGTTACCCTGACCATGCTCCTAACTGCTTTTGGGTGAAAAGTAATTTTCTTTCTATTTAAGGCCAAGGTTATGCATAATTATGTTAAAATTCATTACGAAACAATGGACATCACCACAAGACCCTGGGGAGTAAAACCCACAAACCATAAAATTTATGTCTTAAAGCCTTCTGCTGAGATCTCTTAACTAAATGTAATTTTGAAGTATTAGAAGTGGGCTTTTAAAGGTTGTTCATTGAATGTTAGTTATTTCAGTGAAACCTTGATGGGCTGTGGTGTGATTTTCCCTTAAACAAAGCAGACAGCTGGCACTCAACTCTCTCTCCCCCATGATCTCATTAGTAATTCTCCTTTATGTCTGCTTTACAATTCTTACAATGTTACTTGGAGAATTTGATATTGGATCAATAATAATCCCCTAATTGATTTATTTCTTTTTTCTCATCACTTCTTTGCTTGATGTTGTATCGATACTGTAAGGAGACATTCTGACTAGTAGTAGCCTGGTTTGCAGATTGTTGTAGGAAGTTAATGTCTACAAAATGTGAATACCATTTTGTTCCATGGTACCCAACTCTTTCAATCCTGAGGGTAACCACGAACCATTTAACTCCCACGAGTGATTAACAGAGAATTTTTCCTCTCAATATCAATACAGTATCAAGAAGATAAATGATAACAATAAAGAAAAATATCATTGAGGGGATTATTACTTGATCTAATACCAAATTCTCAGAACTAACATTAATGAGATCTTGGGAATGAAAGAGGTAAAGGTTTCCACCAGATAAAATAGGTGTGCAATGTGTCTTTGTACTTGCTATTTAAGTTACTGGAGTAAAGTGAGGAAAGTTACATCCTTCAGCTGGTTTGCTTGTTTTTACTTTGAGTTGTCACTGGCTTCATGTTTTCCTTGTTTTGATTGGTTGGTGTGATTTCCTTGGTTTTGGTTGTACAACACTCGATTTTCTTTTTCTCCTTTTTTTGATGATTAGAGCATGAAATGGCCCTTTTAAGCAACAATCAGTGCAAGCTGAACTAGATTGTAATGCCATTGTTTCAACACAGTTTGATTTCAGTGTCCTATACTAAATGAATTTTTTTCTTTACAGAGAAACATAGTTCACAGAGACTTAAAACTTGGAAATATTGTGCTAAATCGAAGGTAACCAATATTTGTAAAATTTGTAAATCAGTGGACTTAACATTAGTCAGAAGAGAGCAGCTAAACCTTTATAACTGGATCAATCAAGTCTTGTCAATACCCACGCGAAAGCCACTATTCCAATGAAACATTTTTCAGAAGCTGTCACATAGACCTTTGTAACTGGATCAATCAAGTCTTGTCGATCCCCACACTAAATCCACTATTCCAGTGAAAGATCAGTCAAACTATCAGTTAGGCCTTTGTGACTGGGTCAATCAATTCTTGTTGATTCCCAAACTACAGCCATTATTCCAATGAAACATTAGTCAAAAAAGATTCAGCTAGACCTTTGTAACTGGATTAATCAAATTTTGTTGATCCTCAAACTAAAGCCACTATTCCAAGAAAATGTTTTAAAATTAAGGAATCTACTGAAATATCCTCAGAATCAATCTTGAATCACCAACCTGGTCAGTTGAACAAAATAATTTGAACAGGATAATTTTGTAACCAGTATAGTTTTATTTGATTTTGCTCAATCTAAAATTAATCTTTTAATACTCATACAATATTTGCTTGATGAAAATAGTAAGATTGGATTTACAAATTAATTGTCATTAATGAAGCTTCTCTCTATGGAGAAGGTGCATGCATGAGTGCTATTAATGGTATAGAGATTTGGAATTTTCTCTGCTACTGTCCATGACTTGATTGCATTCAAACTTTGACAGTAGCATGATGTCATTTTAACCCTATAAATTCTTAAGAGTGACCAGTATCTAATTTGCCATTATGTCGATACTGCTGAATCATTCATTAGGATCATGAAAATAAAGGAATCATTGTCAACTTCATAAGCTTTGATTGTGAAACAAATTCTTCTTGTCATCACCAAAGAAAATGTGAAGAAAAAAGTGTAACAGAGAGCCAAGCACTATTTTTATTGTTTTTTTTATTGCCTTCACACATACAACATAGAAACACCAACAAGTACTACTGTTATACTGAGATGTTAGTTTCAGTGTTTATTTTACATTGTATGGGATAGCTACAGCTGTAGAGTTATATCCACACAGAATTCTTCTGGATAAATAAGGAATCTCATGAGGATTCTTGTTACTCCTATCTTAAATTAGAAGAATTTATCACAGATTGCTTTGATATTCCCAATAGCACAAAAAGAATAACAATTACAAATTTTTGCTTGGGGAAACATCTAATACGAGACAATGATCTACTGAAAGACCAGAGAGGAAGCCCAGCTTACATAAGTCCCGATGTTTTGAGTGGTGAGTGAAATTATTTCATTAATGACCTCTCTGTGGTCACTATTATCATCACTTTGTTGACAAAATAATGGATGTACCAGACTAAATGCTATGAAATTGCAGCAAAAATGCCTGGAGAGAAGGAATCCCAACCTAACGTATGGATCATTCACTTTCTTGAATATTCAGTAACTCTGACAAGTCCAGACATCTTTAGTTAAATAAATGTTTCTCTATGTTGGATCAACTCAAACCCTCTTGATTGGTACCAACTGCCCATCTCTTTCCTAATTATACTGCTGTAGTGCAAAAACAAATGAAGAATTCAGACAGTTAGGTAAAGTCTGTTTATGAGCCAAGTGGCCCATCAGGCAGGTGCTAAACTCTAGTTTCTGTAGCATGAAGTGACTAGCAGTATTTCTACTACCCCTTAGATGGAATGCTAGTCCATCGCAGGGTTACCCCGAGCATTAAATTTGCCGATACCCATTTATTCTCTTGGGAGAAGAGAGGCACTGTGAGAGTAAAGTGTCTTGCCCAAGAACACAATACAATGTCCCCAGCCAGGGCTTGAACTTGCACCACTTGATCTGGAGTCAAGCGCACTGATCATTGTAAAAATTAGTGTTTACAAGCTACTCTTAAATTCGAGAAAAAATAAAGCTTATATACCGGTATGTATGTTTATGTACCATGAGGCCACAGTGCCTCCCAACAAATAGGACTGGCTCTAAATGTCTCTTTGAGGGAGGTGTCTATTAAGGAGTAGTTGACTTGTACAGTTCAATCCAGTCCCATTGCCTCCAATTTTCAGTGGACCAGTAAGAAGTGTGGTATAACTGGGTTCCAAATTGCTGTGATTCCATTGCACTTGATATATATATATAAAACACCTCCTATTAATTATATATTAATTTTAAGAGAAGTTGTTATCCTTCTACCCTAACCCCCCACCCCCCCCCATCTCAACTTCTCTGTTTGTCTCTCGAGTATTAGACTTAAAGACTATATTTGTACATTTTTATAATTTTAGTTAACAGCATAGCTTCATTACCATGCAAGTTATCTTGTTGATCACTACACTCAATCACTGTCACGCAAAGAGGAGAGTTTACTCCAAGACTACTACCTACATTGAATGTAATGATAAACCGAAAGGTTGAAATCCCTCTTTTGTTCCTTAAAGGGGCTCCTTATTCAGGGAAAGCAAGTGACATGTGGGCTCTCGGAGTGGTTTTATACACCATGCTGTATGGTCAGTTTCCATTCTATGACAGCATACCTCATGAGCTGTTCAGAAAGATTAAAACTGCAGAGTTCATACTGCCAAAGTGAGTACATTTTGATGGAATACTCACTCATTCATAGCCTTGCAGGAAGATGGTTTTGGATATTTTTTTTTATTATAATTATTATTAAATATGAAGAAGTTGAACAGTCCTTGGATGCTGTGAGGTCCTTGTCAGAATATTAACAGTCTCTCTTCACAAACTCAATCATCTGAGCAAGCTAAAATATTCACATGGCAGGTGTAGATGAAAAAGATCACCATTGCATGAAAATTGGGATGACAAGACTCTGGGTCTCAGAAAACTTTTGCCAGTTCGCATCCTTTAAATTTGTTTTGAAACCTGGCAGATTTAGTCGAAAGGGAGTAAGTGGTTAAAATTTGTCTGGAATCACGATACAAAAAAATTTCTTAAAGAGTAATCTCAACGAAAATAACAGAAAAGTCTCCTCAACCAGTTTAGAATATCATGAATTATAGCGACTGGAAAACTCTTGGCTAACTATTTTAATGTGTACAAAAAATCAAACATTTATGATGCTTTGACTATACTGAGCTTAGGATCCAATGAACTTTCATGCAACTTTTTGTTCGTCAGTGAGGCAATCTTACATCACTGAGATACTCCTGAAGTGATCGTTTCATTCAATCTAGATAATTTATCAACTGGGTATTGATGGGAGAATTTAAATAGATATCACTTGTGGTGTCAAAGGGTTAAAGATGAAGTTATTTCATGCATGTCTTGAAACTAGTGCTCAACAAATTGATTCAGTAGCCACTTACATTTTCCCTTTCAATTCCCTATCAGTGACGGGCGTGTGTCTGATAACACCAAGACACTGATAGGTCTGCTGCTAATGTTAGATCCTCAAAAGAGACTTACGGCCTCCGGTGTTTTGGATTTCTGAGAAACACCATGACAGCATGGTGAGTCAAGTAACCATAGTTCATTGCTTTATGTAGATCAGTTACATAAAGGAATCACTTTTCATCGTGCTGTAAGAGCAACAACTAACTTGAGTGTACAGAGTGATTGTAGTTTTATTGTGCCTTGATGAAGGGGAGCTCACCAAATTATGTACTTCTGAAGATTGGAAAGCCACTGAACCATTAATTTTTGCAACGCATCGACCAACAAACAGTACTTTCCGTTACCATTCCCCTTCCCCCCTAAAGAAAACATTATCTGACGCCCTTGAATGAACTTTCACATTTGGCACCGACGTGAATGCATTACAAGTGTACTATAAAAATCTTCAAACCCTTCTTTGTCCAGGCCTTCTTCCCCATTTCCTCGTCCACCCTTCTCATCCAGTTAGAGAGTATTTCTACAAAAGAAGTTCCTTCATAAATTTCATTTTTCGTTTCAGTAGGTATCTTACTAACACAGTTACTGAACCCGCTCAAGTTGTCCCAGATATAGATGAAGAGTCTTCAAGTGACTCCACAAAGGAATTTGAAAGTTCATCGAGGCTAAGAGCACCAGAACTTGAACTTCGTTTGACTAAATATCGTGACAATGGGAGCAACAAGGAGCCAAGACTGAGCCTCACCCGAGAGAGTCTCACGCAGCCACCTATCCGAAGAATTTCAGAAGACGCTCGACCGCTTACGGCGGCCGAAATTCTGGCTCATCGTCATTTGTTATAGCTGGCGAAGCTTGTCCAAAAATGTTATTTAGTACTAGTTATTTACCCCGTAACTTCCAAGATCTGATTGGTAACTCCCCCTTTTATTTGTTACACATTTCCACGCCAACAAGTTAGTAGAAAGAAGTTCCTTGTCTAATTAAACGCCTTCCGGCTTATTAACGAGCTTACTCCCATAACATGTTTGCAGGATAATGTATTGGATAAAATTATGAGAAGTTCCATCTTAATCACCTTCGGGAGTTCAGGAGTTAAAAGCCCCTTGGATATGATAATCACGAAACGACCACTCTTACAAGAGTGATAGTACAAACCTCTAAATTATCCCAACAATAATTGTTGTGGAGCAGATTTCAGTTAAATACAGTCGAATTTTGTCGCGTGTCTGCCCAGTTTTTCTCTTCGTAAAAAAAAGGGGAAAAATCGTGAAATACTTCACTGTTCACTCGTTAAAACCCGTTTGATCCCATAAAAATATACTCTTAAATTTTAACGAGAGTTTACTGAGAAAATCTTGCTTTATAATTATCTTGTTTGAAAAAGAGAAAATTAAAAAACACACGATGAAAAAAGGATCACCAAGAACATACACGGTATGATACCTTACTAAGATAATCAATTATGTAAATGATTTATTTATGTGGGCTGTACAGAAGGGTTGGAAATTCATTATGAGGGATATTTACAAACAAATTATATATGTCTGGCCGTTGCCTCAGTAATATTCAAAGTCAAATTATTCAAAAATAAAACGAGAGTGAAACATTTATTGTTTTGGTTTCAATTTTATTAGTTTAAGGTCACCAGCTTGTTTTGAGTCCTCATTTTCTGTTATACTTCTGATAATTTTTGCAACTGCGACATTTTGCTGGCCTGTCTCGTAACGCACATGCGTTGCAAAACAAATGGAGTGAAAGAGTAAATGCTATGCTGAAATTTATTTCGGTGAACTATCAGACGATGCATTAATGGTCAGTAAAAGCCTTAAATTTGAAATTCTTTCATGATATTTTTAAGGGAAGTTGTAGCTCAGCTGGGGGTCCTCCTTTCGTGATGGTTTCTGCAAAAAAAATGTTTAGTTTGAAGAACATGTTATATTTTGTATTCCTTGTCTTTTTTCCTATTGGTCTCTGCGAAGTAGGCTATTAGACTACTATGAGTAGCAAAGAAAGCAGATGCGGTCTCAGTTTATGTATAACCTTTATTTTTAAGGTAATTTAAAAGGGGGGGAAGTCGATGGAGAACCATAGAAAAGTATAAAGTGTACTTATTAAGACCATAACAACGTTGATATTAGGGGTGAGATTTGAACAAAAACATGTAGGCTTGGCAGCTCTAAAGACAATCGCATAATCGATGGGGAGAAATTATTATGAAATACAAAATATGGAGATTTGAAAAAAGAAAACAAAGCAAACTCAAAATTGCTAAACAAAATATATTGTTTCAATAATTAATACGCAGCATGGATTCTACTGGGTTTTCAGTGGTTGTTGTGAGAAACTCACAAGTGTTAATGGTTGCGTAACTGTAGCATTTTCGTTGGGGGAGCAGCGGTTGTTCCATAGTTTTAAAAGCTTTGCAGCCATTAGGAACTTGGAAAGTCGTCGTCTCACCAAAATCGATTATTGTCACATGACAACAAGCGAGGTAATGACTTATCATTTATCATTTGCCTGTGTATGGATTTTCAATCCGTTAATTAATCTCGTATCTCTCTCTCTTCGCCACGATCCTTTTTTCTAGCTACCAGTTTCAAAAATTTCATCATTCGCTCTGATGAAGGGCCAACACTCGAAATATCAGCTTTTAAAACTCGGCGGTGACAAATTTACATTATCCACTCACTTCAACTTGATAAAACTAAATTGTAATTGAAAAGCTCGATAAAATATCAATTGAAGTTTGAAGGATCAGGAAGCGATAGAAATCAAGCATTCGAAACATTTCTTTAAAGTCACGTAGCGTGAAGCTAAGGGTATGCAAAGCCTTATTGCTAGCGAGCCCTAGCGAGGCAGCAGCCTCTTTTAAACAATAGCGAGAAAAAGGCAAACTTTGTCGGATGTAAGTTTGGAGACATGCGCAGTCAATTGCGGTTTTTATATCTGGGGTGCTTGTGATGATATCACGTAAAATACATGTGGAGATATGTCGAACGATTTCGAGAAATAGCTGTGTACAGCTGCCCCGCTCTGCTAGAAATCAAGGACACGATAAACAAGTTGAGTTTTTTAAAATAGATGTCTTTAATTGCTTGCGGAAGTATTAATCAAGGTCATGAACGGTTTTTAGTGCTGACTCTCGAGGAAGACAAGACTGAGATATTTATGTGTTTGGCTGCTCTATTATGTGAGCAATTTTTTCCGATTCGCGAATGGAGGTGCCAAGATATCGATCAAGTCCTACTTCATGGAGATCATTTTTTTTCTCAGTGCATTCAGCAATGAAGTGTTAGGCAAAAATGCTTTCATTCGGAGTAAACTGCCGACTGCAGCTTGCAGGTCTAGGGAGAAAAGAGAGGAAGGTGTGAAGCTAACCTGCTTTGCGTCGAAAGCGACTTCGGTACCACAGGCAAATCATTCAAAATATTCTTCGCCCATTCAGGCGTTAAATTTGATGGTTGAGTCAAAATCTCTGCCCGTTGAGGCAAATAATTTGACCATTGAGTTACATTTGCCCCGCGTTGAGGCGAAAGAAAAGCTTGCAATCATAGATTCAAAATGTGGATCGCTCGTTGAAGCTAATGAGTGGAAATAATTGAAGACTGGTAAAGGTGGGGATGAACCTGCTTTGCCTTCAGGGGAGGAGATAGCGGGAACTTAGATAAGCAATTCAATGAACTCGCTTGTGTGAGTATTTTCTTGGAGGAAACCTTAGCGGCGTGTGACGTCATCTTAATCAATTTGGAAGATTGATGAGGCTGGTTTCTAGTTTAATTCAAAAACCTTTTTTATACCACTAATAACCACTGAGGTATTGAGTGTAATAGGCCTACAACGAGCCAATTGGGATCAGAAATACGTGTTGCTTTTTCGTTGGACTGAACTGAGTTCGAATAGAAAAAATTACGCAAGGATTGCGTGGGATTATATATCTATCAAACGAGACTCGAATTCAAACAAAAATTAGAAAAATGAAATGCGAGGTAGAATGAAAGAAAGAGGTAAAGACTTTCAAGTAGACTGAACAAAGAGTCAGTGTGTTCTTGAAAAATCACTGATCTTTAAACTTCAGTAATTTGATACAGAGTTGAGTTGCGTTGAAATATGGGTAGGAAATTAGTCTACGAACTCAACTTCTTACTGCATAATTTTCTTTAATTGTCTTACCGACTTCCGTATAGAGCATTGATTAAAACAAGCGAATTACCATGCTGTGTTATTCAGGCAATTATTTAATCTTCTTGGCTTAATGTACTTCGGATAACCGCGATTTTAGCCAAAAATAACTCTGAGTGGAATGTTAGTTTTTTCCCTTTTTGATTGAACTAGGATAGGAAATTTATGCAGCTCTGATTGAGACAATGAAAAACAGTGTGAGTCAAAATGATTTGAGCCCTATTTTTGCCATTTTGAAAGGAATGGAAATTTACCCCGTTCATACTTCGTACAGAGACCAAAAATACATATGATGCACGATCCTCGCAGTAGATAGCGCTATCTACTGCGAGGATCGTGCATCATATGTATCTAATACCGCAGTACACAATATATGAACTTCATATATTGCATTGTATCTCATTTATCACTTTCACGGGTTTATTACGAATCAACTTAACGGCCTGCTCCCAGTTGGCTTGTTAGCTCAATTGGTAGAGCGCTGCACTAGTATCGCAGAGGTCAGTGGTTCGAATCCCGTACAGGCCTGATTTTTTCAGGTCTGATTTTCACTATTGCTTAAATAGCGCTATCTACTGCGAGGATCGTGCATCATATGTATCTAATACCGCAGTACACAATATATGAACTTCATATATTGCATTGTATCTCATTTATCACTTTCACGGGTTTATTACGAATCAACTTAACGGCCTGCTCCCAGTTGGCTTGTTAGCTCAATTGGTAGAGCGCTGCACTAGTATCGCAGAGGTCAGTGGTTCGAATCCCGTACAGGCCTGATTTTTTCAGGTCTGATTTTCACTATTGCTTAAATAGCGCTATCTACTGCGAGGATCGTGCATCATATGTATCTAATACCGCAGTACACAATATATGAACTTCATATATTGCATTGTATCTCATTTATCACTTTCACGGGTTTATTACGAATCAACTTAACGGCCTGCTCCCAGTTGGCTTGTTAGCTCAATTGGTAGAGCGCTGCACTAGTATCGCAGAGGTCAGTGGTTCGAATCCCGTACAGGCCTGATTTTTTCAGGTCTGATTTTCACTATTGCTTAAATAGCGCTATCTACTGCGAGGATCGTGCATCATATGTATCTAATACCGCAGTACACAATATATGAACTTCATATATTGCATTGTATCTCACAGACCAAAAAGTGGAGAAGAGGCAACAAAGATAAAGATCAACTGTATTACTAACAGTAAAGGTTTCAATGGCCGCACGTCTCGCGTCGTTTCTCGCCAAGCTGTCTTCAAATGACAAACCGGAGGTTGTAAAATAAACGTTGGTCTCACAACTTTAGATCGGCAATCTAGATTAAAGATAAAAAACTAAGAACACTTACAAAGGAATAAAGTTTTCGTAAATAATGACGGATTGTTCAAGTCAAGGAGCAGTCAAATTTAGTAATTGTTTCCAAATTAATACAAATGTCGTGAGATGAAAGTATGGTCACTCGTTGACGTTTAATTAAAAGATATAGGAGAACAAGAAAATTGCTAATGCTAACATTGACATGGGAAGACTATGCTACAAAGAAGGAAGTTACCTCCACGATTGATCAATATCTATAATTACATTATTATTTGCAGATAAATAGCACTGGGTTTCTGTGCTCTTTGGCAAAAATCAGTTGAACTGGCAGATATTTTTTTCTTTAACTTCATCGTTGATTAACAGACGTTTTTCTCCTGCAGGTAAGCATTAAGCTGAAATATTGATTTGGTACAAGGTTCATAGAGAAATCAAGATGTTTATTTTTAAAGGCGTCATCGCAGAATGCTTGGGTATAAATCCCTTTTTTTAATTTCTGAACAGTGAAGCCTTAAATAACATTTTACTTATTAATTTGAGAAGATTAATCCATTTTTCTGCGAGTAGCCGTTCTGACTTCATCCCGTGTTCGATAACATCGGACGCGCCTTAGTTTGCACACTGTTTTCTAATGAAGCATACTCATAAAAACACACACTCTTTGCTAAATAACCCGCTTGGAGGGCGCTTTTAATTCGTTAACTTTTTGCTGCCTTCATTAGGATTTTTTTATCTTTGTCTTGCTTTGTTATCATTTGGGTTTAGTTGAAACCTTTGCTGATTAAAATTCTGACGCGAGATTTGTGCATTGTCTGCAGCGCTAAGACAGGTGGTGCGGTGAACACTGGTTCAACAAAACCCCCGCGGCAACGACGTATGAAGATATATTAGCAGAAAACTGAGGGGGACTTATACTCTGCTTGATATTTCACCCACGTTTTAATTCTTTAACTTCGCTCTTACCCAGGGTAGAATTCGTTTTAGCGCGAATTCAAAGGT